AGCATCTCAGCAGAAAGGTTAAGACATTCCACAAATTGGTTTTCCCACAAAGGATCCAAACTCGCTCCTTTTCATGCAACGTCTTTTTTCCGTCGACAACGCATAGCAACGTTTGGCCGAGGGGTGTCATAAAGAGGCGTGTCACCCGCACAGAATACATATTTAGGGGGAACTTTTGGTGTGGTTTGTTTAAGTAAAGAGAAGCACATCGACACAACAATCGTCATTTAGTGCTGGGAAAGTAAGATACGCAGACAGAAACAACAGTGGGAAAGTAAATAAGTAGAACCTACCACTGGCGCCCTCCAACCCCCGCATGGGGACTTAACATACCGAAGAACATTGAAATCTAGCACTTATCATGCCATAATAATTATGTTATTAGGCATGCTGCAGGTAAAGAAATGCTGAAACCAAGAGAAAAGCTCACAAGTTGCGCACATCCACAAGTGAAGTGGGGCCTCTAAATGTTCAAAATGTGGCAACATTTTCCCTGCCAGAGCTAGTCTCACTGGCCACAGCAGAAGCCACAAGTTATCGTAACCATTAATTCTTCAAGTTCTATTTTGCTGGAGAAATATTCTCCTCTGCTGATGTTTTGGTCATCGTCAGATATTGACGAACGAGTTATTATTTTTAAGTCTCAAGTCCAGCAATGCCTTGTCGAGCAATAATAATATTTGCAATATACCAGTTCGCCTTTTTGTCTTGGACTTTTTTCTCGTCGCTCCTCTCCCTTCATTTGTAATTCTCAAACGAATCCACAGTAAAAATATTCAACTTTTACATTTAGGTTCTCCTTGTGCTTTCTAAGTGTTGTCCAATTTTTAAAACTAAGATTTGATTTTTACGGGAGTGAGTCAAATCGAAAAAAACATTTTGTTTTCGAGTCAAAATATGTGTTGTCAATTTCTTGTGACGCATTTGAATTCTGCTTTTGTAACTCGCCGTGTCTTTTTCGCTCTCCAATCGACGCTTTCAGTGTTGTATTCTAAAAAGTTTTGATCCTTGTTTGTTGTTTTCTTCATATGAATTTTCTAGTATTGCTTGAAGAAGTGGATTTTTAAAAAATACGGCAAAATACTCAACGAGGATGACCACTATAACCACCACTTCGTGTCAGACTCCGCCATACTACGCCATTGTGAAAAGTGACGTATGGCGGAGTCTTACACTGAGCAGTCGAGATGTTAATTATACTACTATAATATAAACAAATAATGAATGGTAATAAATACCATCATCACCATCATCATCATCATCATCATCACCACCACCACCATCACCACCAAAATCATCATATTAATAATAACTTAACAACAACAACAACAACAACAACAACAACAACAACAACAACAACAGCAACAATAAATAGCATTTGCATAGCACATACCTCAGGCATTGCGGTGAAATCAGGTGTCCGTCAAAATAATGAAATCGTCGAAAACGTCATTTTTCTGCCAGTTAGGCAATCATCATCATCATCATCATCATCATCATCATCATCATCATCATCATCATCATCATCATCATCATCATCATCATCATCATCATCATCATCAGAGTTATAGTAGTTCATGTAGTATTAGAAGCAGCAACAGCAACAGCAGTAGTAGCAGCAGCATAATCATCACTATCATAATCACTATCATCATCGTTTATTCTCCCCATCCCTCCAAATCCCCACGCACACTCCCGCGATCAAATACAAGCATGTCGTAGGCCTACACGTACAGCCATGTAGCCCATCCATACTGAACAATGAAAACTTGTGTGCACGTTAATTCTAGCCCAACTCAGGTAGAACTGATAGGCCTAATTCTAAAATGAATAAAACGAAGATGAAATTACATAATAGAAATTGAAAAAAAATAAATGAGTATGTTTTTGTACTGCTGCCAAGAACTCAGCCTATTCAAGTCGTAAACAACCCATTGTTTCCGCGTTCGTCATCGTTCTTTATGGTCCAACGGAGACACGGTGTGAAAAACGAATTTAAATTGTATTTTATTTTTTGGGGAACATATGATTGTTAAGAGTTTAGAGAAGCTCATCGGCACGACATAGCGGTCATGTGGTGCAACAACAAGGGAATAGCAATACAGACAGAAATAACAGAGGGAGGAGAGGAGGGGGGGGGGATAGGACCTTTCGGTGTGGCCCTCCAACCTCTCGAGAATTTAATCACAGTGAATAGAATGTGGAATGTTATGGCGTATTATGGGTTTCACGTCCCTTTCAACGCTTCGTTAAATTTAAAGTGGGAATTTCCGAGTGTAACGTCCCATCTCCAGTAAGACCGACATATTATTATAATATGATAAGATTAATTATATAAGTGTGTGTTTGTGTGTGTGTGTGTGTGTGTGTGTGTGTGTGTGTGTATGTTTGTGTGTGTGCGTGTGTGTGTGTGCACGCACGCTCACGTGTGTGTGCAAGCGCACGCGTACGTACGTGTGTGTTTGTGTGTGTGTTTGTGTGTGTGTATGTGTGTGTGTGTATATTTGTGTGTGCGTGATTTTGTGTATGTTTGTGTGTGTATTAGTATTAATGTGCCTGTATACCTGTATATTTAAGTTTAGATAATATATTATTATGCGGGTGTGTGCATTTGTGTGTATTACATTACACGAGGGTGTGGG